ATATATATATATATATATATATGCATGCATGCATGCAGACACATCAAAGAAACTTCTTAGATTGTCTAATTGTAAAAATTGGTTAAGATTTCAAAATTTATAAGTCCTACCAAACAAAGTTTTATATTAGTTGAGAACCAAACAGCAATCATCAAACCAGGGGGAGAGGGGGATGAAAAAGGAAAAGGATAATGCCATTCATCTCCATTGAAACTTTAGTTCTCATTTACCCAGTAGAGGATGTATCTAGCTCCTTCTTGGACAAAGTGATTGTGATCATTGAAACATGGCGGGTAGTTTCTAGGCTGCAAAAAGGGAGAAAGAGAATCATCCTGCATGTTTATAATATTCTTTATGGAATGCATGACTTGGAGCCACTAATGGATCCTTTTGTCCTTACGGAAGTAAGCCTTCTTCAAGTGGCTCCCACATATCAGTTATATCAGTAGATCCAATTGATGTGTTCTGGTGGAGGCCAGCAATCCTTCTCTGGAACAAGAAGTGCATTTTAATCCAAATCTAATTTGAAGAATACCACTCTTGTAGAAGAGTATCATATTAACATAATCAAATACTAGGGCAAAACAAACATTGGAAAAACAAAATAAATGGTAGTGCAGAGACTACCCACCTTAATCAATTCAGCAATCATCACAGTCTTGTTGATGGCTCTACCCATGGCTTTAAGGACAATTTCATTAGAACCCTTATCCTATAGACAAAAAAAAAAAAATTGTTTAGCTAGACAAGCATACCCAACTTCACTTGTGCTCATGGGCAGTGCAGCAAATGGAAGTAATATTCTTATACGAAAAAGATAAACACTAATAAAAAATGGTATGTTTCACCTTTTACTTAAGGACGTAACATTAGGGAGAAAATATAATAAGAACATTCAAATGCCAAACAGGTTGATGCTTTAAGTGCAATACCAAAATGGAGAGGTAAGCCACTAGAGGAAAAATGATATAATAGAAAATGAGAGCATCCACTAATGACTACGAGTAACCAAGACAAGATAGAAAATCTAAATTCAATCAATTAATAACCGGTAGGAAATAATAGCATGGTATATAATGAAACAAAACAAGAAAACTGAAATAAAATATATATATATATATATAT